TCCTCCCCTCTGCCGAGGGCCACTTCAGGGATTTGCCCTCTTCTGAAACAGAGCCACCTCCTCCATCTCTTAGAAGTGACCTCACTCCACCTGGGAGGTCTCAGTCAACCATGGTCCCACCACCRGACTCTGAGCTGCCGGAGGCTGTGCTCACAGCCCGGGTCTCCTCTGAGCTGCTTCCTGTCTGTCCCCTGGGTCCCCTGTGATGGTCCTGGAAGGAATCCAGCCCCTCCCGCCCCACAGCTGTATCTCAGCCAAGGTGGGTCACCCTGGATCAACCCCAGGGCCAAGCTCGAGTCAGGACCTCCCAAGAATGAGACCCTCCAAGACGGGCACAGTGACGCACGCCTGTCCTCCCAGCGGCTCAGGAGGCTGAGGCAGGAGGATCTCAAGTGGAGGCCAGCCTCAGCCACTGAGCGAGGCCCTCAGCAAACTCAGTGAGACCCTGTCTCTAAATGAAATACAAAAAAGGGCTGGGGACAGGGGCTCAGGGGTGAAGCACCCCTGGGCTTCATCCCTGGGACCAAAACAAATGCAGCTACATGGTTGAGTGAGGTCCCTCCCCAGCCCCAAGTGAGACCTTTCAGCACTGGGGGTGGCTCTGCCCCTAGGAAGGGCTGGGATTTCTGGGGCCACCTCAGAGACAGGCTGCACTGAACAGGTGAGATCCGTGTCAGAGACTGCAAAGAAGGTTCTAGAAAAGGTCTGGAGTGGCCAGGGAGGGCGGGAGGAGCCCCTGAGTGCTGGAGAACTCTGGCCCCGATCTGCAGTCTGAATCTGCTGCGGAGGCGAGACCTCAGATGGGGTAGAAGAGGAGCCGGGGGTCCGGGGGGTACTCACGCCATTGGAGACGTCCCAGCTGAGCATGGCTCTTGCTTTCTGCTCGGCCTCTGGGGTCCCATCCAGCACAAGGCCGAAGCCCCCGTTGATCACCTCTCCCCTGCAAGAGGTTCTGAGGTCACTCCCTGGACCTGGCCACACAGGGAGCAGGCAGAAACGGGTGTTTCCAAAAGCGCTGGCTTCTGGTGTCAGAGTAAGGGGAACCCGTGTCACACGGGCCTCTGGAGCATGCAGACCAGGGGACAGAGGGCCACCAGGCACCAGAGAGGCAGAGCTCGGGGGCAGAGTGTCCACATCCTGGCCTCTGAGCTGGACCAGGAGGCCCTGAGGTCATCTCCAGTGACATGCTTCCCCCCTGAGCCCTTTTTCTCTTTTATTTAGAGACAGGGTCTCACTGAGCTGCTCAGGGCCTTGTTAAGTGGCTGAGGCTGGCCTCCAACTTGCTATCCTCCTATCTCAGCCTCCCAAGCCACTGGGATGACAATGGCTCACTTGGTGTCACCTCCTGCTTGAAGTCAGCAGGGCCACCCAGTTGGGAGGCAGCCCCTCTCCTTCCGGCTCGACCTCATCCCCTGCAGACTCAGCCTGGCAAACCCAGGACTGCGAGGTCAGTCTCCCAGGGAGGAGGCAGCTCTTTTGGGCTCCCGAGGCTCTGCAGCCCATGTGCTGAGGGGACCTGAGCTCAGGTCCTATTTTCCATTATCTAAAGCCACCTGACGTGGCCACAGCTCAGAATTCCATCCTCCCTGGGCAGGCGGCCAACCAGCCCTCTGCAATGCTCAGGGAAACTCCAGTTTTTGCAGGACTCAGCCCAGGAAGATCAGGGATGGCTTGATCCCGCCAAATCAGGCTCCGAGGGCAATTCAGAGGTGGCCCCGGGAGCTGAGCCTGGGCGGCTGCTCTGGGCCCTGAAGCCACAGYGCCCCCTGCTGCTCAGAGCAGGTGCAAATCCCGCTGGGAGGTAGGACTGGGGCGAGGCTGACCCCAGATGCTCCCCCACCCCGCAACTACGCGCAGGCGCAGTTCATCAACCTCGCTGCACCTCGAGGCTACGTTCCTTCTACCAGGCACCTGCTATCCCAGCGGCTCAGGAGGCTGAGGCAGGAGGATGGCAAGTTGGAGGCCAGCCTCAGCCACTTAGGGAGGTCCTAAGCAAGGGATTGAACCCAGAGGCGCTGAACCCCTGAGCCCCGTCCCCAGCCCTATTTTGTATTTTATTTAGAGACAGGGTCTCGCTGAGTTGCTGAGGGGCCTTGCTAAGCGGCTGAGGCTGGCCTCCAACTTGCCATCCTCCTGCCTCAGCCTCCCAAGCTGCTGAGATGACAGGCGTGTGCACCACCACATCTGGCTTTGGGCACGTCATGCTTTCAAGCGAGGCTCTCAGAGGACACAGGAAGACCCCTAGATGCTGACCTGGGAAGGGGGGCTGCTGTTCTTATTGGGCACTCACAACAGACCGTCACGTCCTAGGTGACAGGTGTGACCCAAAGAAGTGGAGTCCCCTGTGCAGGTTTCTCCCTGATAACGCTGTCCCAGCAGCCCCCAGCCCATCCTCTGACCCACTCCTTACCAGCCCACGCCCCCTCCGTTGTGAAGCGCGACCCAGGTAGCTCCACGACAGGCATCTCCTACGAAATTCTGCACGGCCATGTCTGCAGAAGCAAGAACAGCATGCGTCACTCTGTCCACCAGGCCCCACGTCCCTCTGTCCAGGAGGCCTGAGCGCAGGCCAGGCTCAGGATGCAAGAACAAGGTGACAGCTGGGCCAGTGGGAACCAGGGACCGGTGGCTCCGGGAACAGCCATGATTTGTGCTGGCAGAATCCCAGCTGAGCAGGAGGCACCAACAAAGACCCAGAGTCTCCTACGATTCTCCTCCAAGGTTAGGCCTCCCTAGTCCTGAGCCCCGGAGCCCGCAGCTAGAAGAGAACCAGCTGCAGAACCCAGAGACATCTTCACTGTGGAGACCCAGAGTCAAGGAGCCTCGCCCSTTCTCTTAAAAGAGGATGAGGGGAGCCAGGCGCYGTGACGCACGCCTGTCCTCCCAGCAGCTCGGGAGGCTGAGGCAGGAGGATCGCACGTTGGAGGCCAGCCTCAGCCAAAGCGAGGCCCTGAGCCACTCAGGGAGACCATGTCTCTCAATAAAATAGAAAAAGGGCTGGGGATGGGGCTCAGGGGTGTGGGGCGCATGATCTCCAACTGAGCATGCTCAGAAGGGCGCCCCTGTGGACKGGTCTTTCCGCCCTGAATTTGCATGAGGTTCCCCCGATCAATCAAAGCCCCTAGATTTTTTCTTTTTTTTTTTTTGTTTTGATCCTACAGGGGAATTGAGCCCAGGAGCGCTACCACCCAAGCGACGTCCCAGCCCTTCTCCTTTTGAGACAGATTCTCCCTGAGTGGCTGAGGCTGGCCTCCAACTTGCGATCCTCCTGCCTCAGCCTCCCGAGCCTCTGGGAGGCCAGGCATGGACAGCTGAGTGTGTATATGGCGGGGTCCTCACCTGCACAGAAGGCAGAGCCGTCGTAAATGTTGGAGGTCTCCCTAAATGGGCTGTCAGTGCCACTGACGTCGTGGTGGTCACGGCTCAGAACCACGGGTGCCTGGGGCAAAGGGAGGTGCAGGATGGTGAGCCACCAGAGGCAGAGGGCAAGGGTCTGGCTGTTCCAGAAGGCTCGGGAGGTGGGGCCTGCAGGGCATGGGGGAGGACCCCCTGGACGGCAGGGCCTCACCTTGACCTTCCCGCTGGCGATGGCCTGATTAATGGCCACAGCGATGGCCACGCGGCCCTTCTGGTCCGAGTAGAGAATCCGTGCCTGGGAGCCCACCACCTGCAGGGCGAGTCGAAGAGACCCTCAGCAAGAGGCAGGGCCTGGGGACGAGCTTTAGTCACCAAGCCACCGTCCCCAGCAGCCTGGAGGCCCCTCTGATCCCTAGACAAGGCCCCTGGTGTGTGGCCTGAGGGGACCCCAGATGGCCCTCCAGGTGCGTGGCAGACTGGGACACACCCTCCCCTCAGCCCCTGGCCACCGTGTGTCCCTGTGAGGTCTGAGCTGCCCAGGGGTGAGCCATGGATCTTGGAGACTCTGAGAGCCCCACTTCCTCGAGCTCCAGGGAGGTGACATTATGGGATTATGGGATTATGACATTATGGGATTAACCTCCCCCCTGCGATCCTTTCTTTCTTCTTTCTTTCTTTCTTTCTTTCTTTCTTTCTTTCTTTCTTTCTTTCTTTCTTTCTTTTCTTTTCTTTTCTTTTCTTTTCTTTTTTTTTTTTTGTGGTACAAAGGGATTGAACCCAGGGTCCCCAGCCCTTTTTCTATTTTATTTAGTCTCSCTGAGTKGCTYAGGGCCTCACTCAGTGGCTGAGGCTGGCCTCCACCTTGCGATCCTCCTGCCTCAGCCTCCTGAGCCACGGGGATGATAGGCTCTTTTTGATTCCCGCCCCCCCAAGAACTTCGTATTTTTGAGGGTGGCAGTACCATGTTGATCTGCTGGCAATACTTCACAAGGGGCTCCTGTTCCTCCACCTGTCACCCCAGCCACCTGGTCTAAGGTCCCTGTATCCATCTCTCTTTTCTAGGGCAAGGGGGTGGCCACTGCTCCTCCCAGGGGCTCTGGCATGGTCACATGTGGTCCTGTGTCAACTCAGCCTCCCCCAGGACTCTCCAGTCCTCCCCTGGGAGCCCTCACCAGGTGGTGCTTGGCTGCCTCGCGGATCCAGCGGACATTGTCCATATATTGTAGTTTCACAGACTCCGTCGTTGCTGCAGAGAGGAAGTGGGGTGTCGTGGGCAGAGGGCGCCCCTGCTGGAGTCCTGGGCCCTCCTGGTCCAGGCTGCTTGCTACAGATGCCTGCTCTGACTCTGTCCCCAAATCCAGGAGTCGGGGCCAACCGTACCCTGGAACCTCCGACATGGTAAACCTTTTTTGTCTACCATGCTGATTTTCTCAGGCCTTTTGTCACAGTACTGCAAAGCTAACCAATGCACTGGCTTCCTGTTAATTCCACCCGGAGGATCCTGACCCGCACAGGGGAGGACATCTCCAGGGGACAGTGTGCACATAGGGCCCACCTCCCCTACACCCCCCCCCTCAGGACATTACCTCCCTCAGCAATGGCCTTCTCCAGGACAGATGTGGCTAGCTGGTCCGTGACAGCTAGGTCCTCGGGGTCCCCAGATGTGCAGACCCAGCGGAAAGGCCCGAATCCCTGGGAAAATATGTCCCTGCAGGGACAAATGTTTCCCACACTGATGGCTCCTCYGGCCAGGGCCAGGGGTGTGGCCCCGGGGGGACATGCCAACCAGAGCGACCAGAACAAGAACAAGCAGAATTYGTCTCAAACGGCCATCAGAGATTTGGGTCCAAAAAATTCCACCTGTTTTCTTTGTAAAATGACGGGAAAACCCGTCACCAGGTGYGTGAGCCGAGAAAGGAGCCCACGTGGGCCACACCCCTGGCCCTGGCCGGAGGAGCCATCAGTGTGGGAAACACTGTCATCCCAGTGGCTCGGGAGGCTGAGGCAGGAGGATCTCAAATTGGAGGCCGGCCTCAGAAGTCTGTGACAAGGGCAAGGACTGAGGACCCCGTGCGGTGTTCAGCCCTGGGAGAAGACTCYACCGGGCTGCCCGGGGCTGCCTGTGCCTGTGGTGACCTCTGTCCAGGGCCAGGAATTCCCACATTTGTCCCCAACAGCACCCCAGAGGCCCACCTAGGGGACAGGCTCTTGGACAAGAGTCTCCGGGGCTCACAGGAAGGGACCTCAGTGTCCTGCCCCTTGGTGCCCACCTGTCTCCTCACCAGCTCCTGACAGAGTCTCTTGGGGCTTGGTCCCTTGTCATCGTGGGAAMCCTGGGACCCGGTACCTGGCTGCTTTGGGGCTGCGTGAGGGTCTCACAGCACATGACCTCGAGGGTGGTCGGYTGGACCCAAACGCCACATCCCAGGCCCCTGAAAGGGACTGGGGTGACACTGGATACCTGGAACTGGTGGCCACCCCGTCACTTACCCCATAATGTGCTGGACATAGGAGGGATAGCGGAATTCCATCTTATTGGCCCCTTTCTTCTCCACATCCGCTCCTACGGACAGAATGCCCAGTCCCCGGGGTGAGCACCCACATGGCCACCACATGGTGACGTCAACAAGGTGAGTCGCGCACGCCTGTCATCCCAGCAGCTCAGGAGGCTGAGGCAGGAGGATCGCAAGTTGGAGGCCAGCCTCAGCCACTGAGCAAGGCCCTGAGCCACTCAGCGAGACCCTGTCTCTCAATAAAATAGAAAAAGGGCTGGGGACGGGGCTCCGTGGGTAAGGACCCCTGGGTTCAGTCCTTGGTCCATCATCATCATCATCATCATCATTATGGAGAAACTGAGGCCCAGAGAGGCCCAGCTGCCCGCCTGGGAGGACCAGCTTTGGGAGAAAGGTCCCCGGGTAGAGGCTCAGGGGAGATTCCTGGGGCGCTGGCTCGGTGGCAGGAGGGGACCCTCCCGGCCCTCCCCTCTGGCCTACCTGCTCGCTGAGCCTCTAGGAGGAAGGCGTTGCCATAGTCCCAAAAGAAGAAGTTGTCCTGGGCCAGCCGGTTGATGGCCGAGACGTGCCTCCTCAGGCTGCAAGGGAGGGGCCTTGGCTCCACCCCGTGTCCCTGCCCTCCAGGCCCCGCCCACCGAGCCCTCGGGGGTCCTTCCAGGGTGCGCGACCTGCAAGATGCCATCGCCCCCAAACCTCCCCCCACCCGATGCATGAGCCCAGGTGACAGCCCCCAAGCAAGTACCACCTGGTCCCCAAGCTCCTAGGGGACCAGAATTAGCACTACTGTAGCTGGACATTGGGTGGGGATTTTGCAAATTTTTTTTTTCTGGTCCCAGGAATGGAACTCAGGGGGTGCTTAACCCCTGAGTCCCGTCCTCAGCCCCTTTTTCTATTTTATTTAGAGGCAGAGTCTCGCTGAGTTGTTTTTGCTGAGGCTGGCCTCCAACTCGCGATCCTCCTGCCTCAGCCTCCCGGAGCTTGCTGGAATGACAGACGTGCACCACCGCRCCAGGCCACAAATCTTTTCTTTGGTCCCCCAAGCATTCCCGGAGTTAGGTGAGCCCATGACCCCATCTGGCTGACAGGAGGCAGAGACTCAGGGAGGTTAAAGTCCTGCCCAGAGTCCTGCAGCTGGCCACTGCTGAACCAGGGGACAGCCTTTCAAAGTGGGTGGAGGGAGTGGGCTGTCCCTGCCCGAAGGTCTAGCGTCCCCACCCCCAGCAGCCCTGGGCCTCCCCTACCTCTCCTGGACCAAGCCTTTGAACTTAGCGGGGTTGGAGGCCATGAGCCTCTGAGCCTCCGTGAAGCCCAGCTGCACCGGGTAGTAGCCGCCATTGAAGGGGTTGTGGCAAGATGTCTGGTCCGAACCGAGGTCCACCAGCAGCTCCCCTGTGGTGTCCAGTTCATGGACCAGGCGCTCCCTGGGGGAAGGGGTGGGTGGTCAGCGCAGGGAGGGTGTGGCTCCCGGCCTCGGGGGTTGGAGGCCGGGTTGGAGGCCGGGTTGGAGGCCGTCCAGAGAGAGTTGCACCCCGGTTCCCACCCATGCACCCCGCCAGCAGAGCCCACCGTCCCCTGGTGGGGACCAGTGGGAAGGTTGCCGGGGACTTGGGAGAGGACGGGGACCATCCGTCTTGCAAATATCTAATCGGCCGAGGGACACTGGCAGGATTGGGTGCGGAGGATTTCTGTGGAGTCCCTGAGGGTGCCCAGCCYGCCCCTCGCTCACCAGAGATCCACCACGTTGCCATGGTAACCGAGGCTGAGCACCTCCTTCTTTTTTCTCGCTTCCCTAGAAGGACCCCAGAGCAGAGCAGATGGCAAAACCGAGCTGCCCACAGCTGCCCCCCAACAAACTCGCACCCCTCCCCTGGACAGTGTATATATAGATGTATATATTGAACCCCTGAGCCCCGTCCCCAGCCCTTTTTCTGTTTTATTTAGAGACAGGGTCTCGCTGAGTGGCTTAGGTCCTCAGCTAAGTAGTTGAGGCTGGCCTCCGACTGGCGATCCTCCTGCCTCAGCCTCCCGTCTCTGGGATGACAGGTGTGCACAACTCTTTACTAAGGGTGTAGACTGACTGTACGCTAGACRGAGAGAAGCCTCTGGCAGCCAGACACCCCCTCTTCCTCCAGAGGGCGCTATGGCGCACGCCTGTCATTCCAGCAACTCSGGAGGCTGAGGCAGGAGGATYGCAAGTGTGAGGCCAGCYTCAGCAATTTAGAAAGATCCTGCCTCTAAATAAAAAAGGCTGGGATGTGGCTTAGAGGTAGAGTGCCCCTGGGTCCCCTCCAGGGTACTGCCAATAGATAAATATCCCTCTCATGACGTGCCAACTGTGGCCGGTCCCCAGGCCACCCAAAGCAGCCCAGCCTCCTGCAGCTTCTCACCTGAGCCTCTGGATGCACTGRTCCAAGCTGTCAGTCACTTCCATTAGCCACCTTTGCTGGTGACGTTTGAAGAGAGCTGCTTTATCAACCTGGTGGCGCCATGAGACACAGGGCCACTCGATGACAAATCGCCCCAGCATGTCACCCTCCACTCAGAAGGTGCCCTCGCCCATGCAGACCACTTGCTCCTGTAACAGGCTCAGGAGACACAGCGAGGTCCCTGCATACTGTTCCTCCTCCTGTCTCCCTTCCCAGCAGAGCCCAGGTTCTGTACAGGGTGACCCCGCACAGCCCCGGGGACAATCACACCCGCGGTAATCACGGAACACTAGCCACCGGTCCCCTCCTGCTTCCTGCATAAGAGCATCTGTGTGATCCAAGACCGCCCAAGGAGAAAAAAGAAGGGGTTTCAGCCGGGCACCGTGGCTCGGGAGGCTGAAGTAGAAGGA